ATTTGAATAAATAGATGAGATTATTATTCTCCTATAGGAATATTGTTGAGGAGAATAAGAAAATGCGAAATAAGAGTTTTATTTTATTCAAATGCATAATTTGTCTAGGTGTAGTGGCAATTTGGCCGATGATTTCTTCAATATTCCCTCTGACTACTCTCCAATCATCTTCCATGCGCCTACAAACAATAATCGAGGCGCCACATTCATATTTTTTATCCATTTCTCAAGACCAGTTAATTTTTTTCCCCTCACCTTGTTTTCTTCCCTCCCCTTTACACAGTCTTCCAGTGCATTGTGTCGGAGTTAATTACGTGCGGATAAACGCAGAGTCATACTGTCGGGACCTTCTTTCAGTCCCTCGAGTAAAAATGAGAAAAAGAGAATGGGGATAAAAAGAGAAGTATGAAAAAGTTGTACGATAAAATTGAGAGCAATGGGAGCATGTGAGGGAGGGAGTGAAAATAAAATTGATATAAAAAAATCAGATAGGATCGAAGGTAGACAATACCAGCCGTTTAGGAGCGATGGTGGATCGCGGGGATAACCGGTCTGAAATTATTTTCATTGTATGGTCGATTTGTCAGGGTGTAAGACGAGTAGCGAAAACCCGCTGATCCTCGTTTTGTGAATAAAAACCTTGCAGTTGTGCTTTTTTCTTTGGGACGATGTCTACCACCTAGTGGGATGTGATCTGAAAGTATCTCTGCGTTTGAAATGGCGCATTGAGAGAAAAATTTAGGCGATATTTAGTTGAAAGAAGTAAATTATTGTCAATGGCTTAAACTTTAGAATATTTCCCCCTTACGTCATGAATATATTACATATCGAAACATTGGAAGTGCATAAAGAAAAAATCATTTTCAATTGTAAAATTTCAGTGGAATGATAACATAATAAATATTTTCAAGAAGTAAACCAGAAATTTCAGTTAAAAATTCTCAACAGTATCTTTAATTACAAATGACGAACAGGATTTCAACGAAAGACAAAATACTGTAAGTTGTCACACAATAACAATATGCCTATAACTGAATTATTCGCCGCTCTGAATAAATTCGCAAAAAAAGGAAAAAACCATCCCCACAAAATAAAAAATACATGAATGTTAATCTCTCATCTCTCTGTCCCAAAAAAATCACATCTGAAACTTTGAGACATTTTAGAATTTCAACGAAAGAATAAAATACTGTAAGTTGTCACACAACAGCAATATGCTTAATTGAATTATACCCCTCTTTGAATAAATTTCCCAAAAGAAGGAAAGAACCATCCCCGCAAAATAAAAAATACATGAATGTCATTCTCTCATCCCTTTGTCCCAAAAGAAATCACATCTGAAACTTTGAAACATTTTAGAACGAATCAATTCCGCTGTATACCCCGGGGTGTCTTGAGCAGTTAAATTGTCATTTGGATATCAAAGGGAAGGCACCCCCCTCCCCCACCCCAGTAATTTAGCCAACACCGAAATATCAAAACGTGTCTGCATGTTTTGCCCAGGGAAAACGTTTGTATTGGTGAATGAAATAAACGTTGTATATTCCAAAGGCACAGTTCTCCCATATCCCGTGTTTTCTCACTGGGATGAATTTAACCTCCCTTTTCCTGGACGAAACAAACAGCCCTCAGCTATTGTTGCTCAAAGCATAATGGAATCACGGGGTTTCTCTCCTCACGCCTTAGCTCAGGACGAGCTGCCAGTTAACTGGGGCTTAATGGCCTTGCAATTGGATTTTACCATTGCTCACTTTCGCCCCGGGGATGTGTCGTTTCACGCCTACCGATTTCATTCCTCAATGTTGAGGTGGATTTATTTCATTTCACTTTTTTTTATTATGCGTTACCTTGAAGATGACGGGGTTCAGTGCAGACACAGAGAATGAAGTCTCTAGTTTTCAGAATCACGTTGGTTAATTTCCGTCTAGTAAATCTGTCCCACTCCATCAAATATTTTCACGTGCACGGAGAGAAATTTTGGATGAAAATTATCCTACCGTTCTATAAAAGTGTATCGTGAGTCATCGTTTCCTTCTTTCTGTCCTGAAATGTAGTAAAAATTAGTATATGATGATCAAATTTTATTCTACGTTAGAGAAATTTTATCCTGATAAAAATACCGGCACGGTAAAATTACCTTTTTGATAATTTTCTCTGGTAGTTGCTATATAAAAAATAAAACATCATGCAGTCGAATTAACCCCTCGTCAAACTGACAGATTGAATTCAATTGTGTCGTTGTGTTAATTATACAATTTTCGTTTCTCAATTGTGAGTTTCGTCTCATGGTCCAATTATATTGCCCGACATTTGGATTGGAAAAATAATCCCCCGAATACCACACGAGCTTCAAAATTAATCGGGCATTTTCCTCAAGGTTCCCTGCGTACAAACGAAGTCGTCAAGTTATTCAGGAAACTCGTGATTTTTTAACCTGAAAAACGTGACTCCTTCGTTTGTTTGCAACGAACCTATCGGAAAATACCCGATAATTTTGAAGCTCTTGTGGTATTACAAGTGAATAGATCTCTCCGTGCGGACATTTCTTAAAAATATAATTTATTCGTGTCTCATGACATTTTTGGACATTTCACCCCAAAGTTAGGAAATGACACAAACTGATGATTACATGGCTCCCAGTCGGAAGAAAAAAACAATTCCCCCACACGATTACTGACCTCAGAGGTAATCTTCAAAAGATATCCTCCTCGGTTGCTTCTTTTCCCCACAGTTCGCGGTATATATCATAATGATAATTAAAATCCCCATGATAATGCGAACCCGTTTAGATTTTCACCGGTTGGTGGTTAATTCGGCGTAATATCATTAAAGAGACATTTTCCAGTTTTCACCCTAATCCTCGTGGAATCCACTGAGCAACCGCCCGACCCTCTCTTTCTCTCCACCCCTTCGTCTCATTTCACAACTCAGACCTTCATGTTTTACCTGGACGAACGTACAACTGAAGGGAGTTGCTTTTCCACTAATTACTCCTCCGTTTCGTCTCCTCCTCCCTCTCTCTTTCTCTCTCACTTTCCTCACTCTCACGCGCAGGCAAGGTTAAGTCCACCGCAAAATCCCGAGCGCATTTTCTCAGGTGTCGAGATATACGTGGGCGTTTTAGACGCCCCGGGAGACGAGGTCGAGGACGATGATGAGTTCAGTGCGTCTCATCGATCTGAAAAGCGTTGGTTTACCGCGTGTGAAGCTCCTTTGACACGCCTTTCCTTTCATCCTACAGAACATGTTTCTTTTTCGTCATATTTTGATGCAACGTTCATTGAATTAGAGAGGAATTTTTGGTTGAGTGGAAGGAAGAGACAGAGAGAAAAAGAATTTTTCCAGATAAATTTCGCTCTCTGAGATTTTAAAACGATTTCACGTGTTTACTTTAGTGGAGAGAAAATGCATTCATACGATGTTAGGTTCAATTGAATCATTTTAGCCGGGGTTAATGACGAAAGAATATTTTCGTTTTTACGCAAAAATTTAAGTGTTCTTGGTGATTCGATATAAAATGGAATTTTAAGATAAGAAAGGTTGGAGGCATTCAAATATTGCGTCACGCGATTCAGGAGGGGGGAAGGTTCTATGATTTGTGACGATTCGCGACGGAAAGGGAGGGGATGGCATAAGTTGTGATGTCACACCATAATTGATTGAGATAATTTGAGGTGATAAGGATGGCAATTTAAGAACCTCAAGACCTCTTTTTAATTTAAAAAGCTCGGGGTTCTTGTTTTCAGTACAGAAGTACTTGGATTTCAATCAAAATAACTGAGAACTAGAACTTCTTTTCTCATTTTCAAAGCAATTTCACTGCAATCCATTACTTCTTGTTTCTGAATTTTATTTCACACCTTAAGAAAGAAAACAAATTTTCTTTAACCATGTCCACTGAAATTTGACGGAATTTTGTAATTGAATAGTCATAATCTCATAGAAAAATTTGCGGGAACTATAAATTTCAATTCAATTAATCCGGGAAAATTAATGAAAATCAGGAAAATTCAGAGAAATCTCTCCTTAAATTCCAGATTCCTCTGAATTTTTCGGGAATCCCTTCAAAAATTCTTGGAATTCCAAGAAATTTAAGAGAATTCCCTGAAAATTCAAGGGAATTTGGCATTGAATATTCCTTTTCACTTGAAAATTCATGTAAATGTGCAATTTTCGTCTTCCTACCACTAAAAAAATGGCACTTTACTTGAATTTTCAGAGGAACTTGAAATTCCATTCACTTTTTCCCGTTAACTCGAATTCAAGGTCTTTTTCCGGAAAATTCAACCAAATTTTTTGGGTGTTATTGGCAACTACCGAAAATATAAAATCTAGCGCTGACCATTTTCAGACGAAAATTGGATCTCCACAACCAAAGTGCCTTGATTCCAGTAACACAGGTACTGGATTTCAGTAAAAAGTACTGAGAACGAGAACTTTTTCTCTGATTCTGAGAGAAATTTCCGTGGAATCCACTACTTCTTATCTCTGAATTTCAATTCACACCCCGAGAGAGAAAAATATATTTTCTGTAACAACTCTTATTTGAACTAAAAAATCGCTTGTTTAAAATTACAAAAAAACAAATAACATCTAGTGCTGACCATTTAAAGTCTGAGGAATTGGATTCCCAGAACCAGAGCCTTAATGAAGGTGCCATCGGTATTGGATTTCAGTAAAAATAACTACCAACTACAACGTCTCTGATTCTCAAAGAAATTTCACTGGAATCCAGTACGTTTGTCTCTGCGTCCCTTTCAAAAAAATATAATTTTCGTATTGAATGATGGATGAAATGAATTCCCGAACACATCAACTATAAAATTGTAGAATAATTTTCACCGAATTTTTCTCTCCGTACAACTAAACTCGAGCTTTTCCCCTTGATCACATTTTTGTTTTACATTATTCTATGATTTTTGTTCCTTGATATATTGAGTGTGACCTGTTGGCTACTTTGTGACGATGCGAACTTCCTTTCTCTTCGTCTTCTGTCGCAGAATCCCTCGCCCAAGAGCTCGAGCAGGAGAGGAAGTCGCGGCAGCACCAGGCAGCCGAGAGGGATCAGGTCAAATCACCCCTTCAAGGTGCGTTTTTTTTTCAACTAGAAATTTAAAAAATCCCGTTGAATTCCACTCAAAGTATAATTTCCCCCTCTTATCCCGTCCCCTCCCGCCCGACTGCCCCTCCAATTACACTCCACTAATCACAATTTAATTAAGAGCACTAATTAATTCGATTGAATCCACCAACTTTCATTTCTCCTCATTCATTTTTTCCCTCAACCCTGTAACTTGGCTAATTTTCCCAAGTTTCTGCTCGAATTTTCTTGTCCACGGGCATAAACTTGGTTAATTAGCTATCCAAACTAGAATTCAACGACAACGAAGAAACGTAACTCGGTACTTCTTGCGGTGGGATACATACCCCCCCATTTTCACGTGCAAATCCAAAACTTTGAATGTTACCCGGAGAAATCCACAATATTCAGGAGGAAAAAAGCCAGCTTGTTTTGTTCTCCTTCACCTTTCTATCCCTCTTTCTCCCCATGCCAAATGGGTGATACTGGCGCTTCTTATTCTCGCTGCCAGCCATGACGACGTGCTCATAAATAATCCCTCTCTGTACTTTTTAACCGTTTACTGCTCTTCAGTCTCCGAACGCTGCAACAATCTTGCAAGAACGGGATTTTTTGGGCCCATGGGACGAGTTCATTTCGTCGAATTTACATTTTTCCAATGAATGTATTCATGTGCATGTTGGTGATGCATTTGGCGAGAGCTTACACAGTGAAGAAAAGGCTCTGGTTTCCAGTAGGAGTGTCTGGATTTCAGTACTCCGTGGTGGTAAAATCCGGAGGCAAAAAGTACTCAATTACAGCGAAATTTCTCTGAGAATCAGAGAAGAAATTCTAGTTCTCAATCATTTTTAATGAGATTTCATGGACTATTGACTTTGGAATTGAATTTTCAGAAGAGTGAAATTGAATTCACTTGGAGGGGGGGGGGGTAATAAGGAAATTCCAGATTTCACTAAAAAAATTCACTAAAGATTTCATAAAATTTCACATTTTTGGGCAGCAGGAAGACACACGGAGAGAAATGCTCAGTAAAAATTACGGAACTCACAGTTCGCTTACCGATTATGGAATCGACTTAGAATATTTAAGTGATGGTATCGTAATTTTTCACAAAAGATTCAGGTAAAAATTACGGAACGCTCTGGAAAAATTCCGTGACAGTTCCGTAAAATTTCCTGCAACCACATTTTGCTCCGGAATTACGGAAAAGATACGTAATTTTAATTGAATATTTCTCTCTGTGCAAGGATTTTCCAATTTCCTTAAATTTTCAATCAAAACATGAATTATCAATACCAAATTACACTGAATTTTCAATTAATTGAACATTCAAGAATATGTTTACCCGAATTTTCCTAATCTTTATGAATTTTTTTTTTTATCGTTATTTTACATCGCTTCGATCCGATTAGGATATGCTGCGATGATCATCAAGACTTTAAATGGTTAGATCTCGCCATTCTACCCGGCCGGGTTTTGAACTCGGAACCTTTCGCACGTGAGGCAACGAACTTATCCATTGCGCCAAGCCACCGGGAATAATTCAATTAAAATTCAGTTTCCATCAATTTCTTCCAAAAAATTTCAAATTTTCAATGACGAAATTCCTTGAAAATTCAGTGAAACGATACGAAATAATCATCCTCGAATTCAAACACCTATCCCCCATTCGAGTAAAGAATATCCTTGAATCAAGTATATTTCAGTAGCGAAGTGGTAAAAGGCTTTAAGTCGACTTATCTCTCAGTTGAGTTTTTGAGGAATATTTCCGAACCTAAGGGAGATAGCGAAATTTTCGTAATTACATTTGTTGTAGCACTCAATCGGCTCTACAAAAAAGGTTATAACAAAAATTTTGCTATCTCCCTTAGATTCCGAGGTATTCATTGAAAACTGGTCAATAGTCAAAATTGACTTGTACCGTTTCACCACTTCGCTACTGAATTGTTTTCATTCAGTATAACTTTCGCCTGCTCTGTCAACGCCATCACGTTTTAAAAAAGCTTAAATGAACAATAAAACAATTCAGGTATATTTGTTGCCATTTTGCTCTCATAGCATCCATGCATCTCGCACCCCTTTGTACGGCACTCATTTAACCCAAGAATTCAGAATAATTTTTACAATAAAACACTATCGAAAAATTTTTCAGCAGCCTAAAAAGCCAAAGGACCGTAATGAAGCTGTTTTTATGGGTCGTTTGAGTCGGTTGTTTACCAAGGAGAATAAAGCCCTCCATCGCGGGAAGCGCACGGCCAGAAAACCTCCAACACTATTAATGCATTCTTTTTCAATCATACAACCGACAGTAGTATAAAAAGTAGAATCACGTCGGCTTGTGCCTCAAAGGCAACTCGATGACTCGACTGTAACCCCAATCACACTCCCCCTCCTTCGCCGTCCTTGTTTTACACCATTTTTAAAGGCCCCACCTCCTCGTTTTCGAACACAACTTCCGTGCGCTGGGGAAGAATTAAAGTCTTCGTCTTCATTTCATTGGGCGGGGGGGGGGGGGGGG